CTGTTGATGCTAGAGATTATAACATAATATTTTGTATTGATATCGTACTAAGCTAAAATTCAAAGGTATAAAACTTAGAGAACTTAAAATATATATATATATATATATATATATATATATTTGACATGTCTTACCCTATTCAATGGAAAGTTAATCTTTTATATATTTTAAAATTTTAAATACTATGGGAACTCTTGTTTATATATTTTCATAATTTTTTTTTAAATAGCCATTCAGAACATATTATGTTTTATGTCTTAGGTTAACATAGAATACTCATTCCGGTTATCGAACTAGTTTAAAAAATGATTCATTGTATTTTAATATGATCTATAAATGGTAGAATATGTAATCAATAGCTTATAATATAATCTAATGGTTCTATAATTCGTTAATCTATATCCTGAGTAGAACTCGTTGATAAAACTTTCTCGTGAATACATATTATAATTTTACAGAAGTATACTTCATGTGTTAAAAAAAAAAAAAAGAGCTTATGCTTCCTATTTTCCACACCACTATCAAGAAGATTTTTTTTTTCCATTTTTACATTTAGTAACATGTTCTCAAATGCATTTGGGGTTTTAAAGTCGTCCTCATCATTATTCACATTCTAATTGCCTACATCTGTTTTGTCATCAAGGTCCAAAGGAATATTTGGAATATCTTCAAACTCCTATATATGGTCGTTGAAGTCATGATTTTTTCTTATCAATGCATTGAGTCGATCAACTTTACAATATGCAACTCATCATTTCTGAAGAAAAAAGCAATGTTACACCATCAAATCTCCATGCCGAGGAGATGTATGGATAAACGATAACATATACAAGAAAGCTAAACGGAATTTAGATGGTTTGAACATATTTTAGAAAAGATAAGTAATGTTAAAATAACATTAAGATAGTATGAAATTACCTCGGATCCATAAATGTTCTCCAACCGAGTGATCTCATCATATGACACATATGCAGCTTTCATCCCGTTGGTGCATCTAGGACCTTTCTTTATAGAATTATAAAATTTTCATCCCAATAGTGTTCCATCTTTGGTATTGCTTCCATGCACTAAGAATTTGTGGAAACATATGACTCTATTGTGAAATAAAATATATTTTAGATGATACAAACCATGCACTACTATTTATTGCAAGGAAAATATATAACATTACACTATGTAAACTAAAAATATACCATATTTTATTCACAATTTTTTAAAAAATAATATATAAATAATATAGATGTATTTGTATATTAATTTTTAGAAATACATTTACTTAAAAATATATTATATGTCATTAGGGTTGTGCACATAGATTAAGAAAACGTTTAATTTTTTATATTTTCAAAAAATAGTTCTTCAATTATTTACTTGAACACATTTGACTAATAGCAAAACAGATTGTAGAATACAAATGGCTATATGACAAAAAACTTAATAAATTTTAGATTTAAAAACATTGTCTAATTTTAAACATAAGGTTTTATAAATGTGTTAAAAATCGAAGCTAATAAAGAGTAAAGTGACTTTGGAAGTACAACTCAGTTGAAAATATATATATTTATGAGCTTTGCATCCTTTACTATTACGAACGATTTTTTGATTTTAAATTTCATACCATTATGAATATAAACTACATAAATATATAATCTTCTGTTTTTAATACATGAAATTATAGAGAAATTATTGTGTTTCGAATTATTTGACATTTCCAACTCTATATGTAAAATTTATTAATAGTTAGTGTTATATACCAATGATATTATGTATTCTATTTATTTTTCGTTGAATTGTGGATAGGTTGATAATTAATGATTTTTTTATTTAGAACATGTAAGAAATTAAATGGTTTCTTAATTTATATGCATAATCATAAACATCATATTATATATTCAAAACGGAGGAGATAATAAAATATTGGAAAATAAATTAGACAATGTTAGTAAAATAAATATTTTGTAGTGTAATTAAATTATTACCTTAATTATTAACACTTTAAGACTTCATATAATTAGAAGATCATGAAAAAACTGAATGGCCTTTGCAAGCCATTTGTATTAAGGAAAAAGTAACAAAAAAATTTATTCATTTATGGGGTGATTAGTTGAACTGTAACTATAGAAACTGTACTGTAGAATTTAGTCTCTCAAATTTTTTGATGTAGTTGTATCTAAGATAGATGTAAACATTAAATGGGAAAAAGATACTTTTACAGCAATCCTACATCAATATTTTTTTTCTTTAGATTTAAAAACCACTTAAATCATAATTGATGATTTATATGTTCATAAATAGAAAATAAAATTAAAGCCATTAGTTATAGCTCAACCAGACACCCTTCATGTAAAATTATAACTTTTCGGTTATAGACACTTAGCTTGAGAATCCAAAAATTGATCAAATAAATGTACAAGAAGTAAGAAGATCCCCCTTGTGAAATATCATAGATTCTGTAGATGGCTTATGAGTTGAAAAATCCATGAAGATATTTTAGCATGAGTTTCTTAAGTTTTTGAATTTTTTTTACTAAATAATAATAAATTTCTGAGATATTCTTTTTAATAAACTTTTAATATTGAAATATATAATTTAAGAGAGATTAATGTTAAAAACCCATCAATAAAGAACATTTGGTACGTATAGATATTGAACATTGCTATTGACTACTCATTTGTTCTTTGTTCTTTGCCTCTCGAGTTTTATCCCATAAACTTTTTTTCATACTTCTGATTTACATTGTTTTCCTAATTGTTTAAATACTAATTGTGTAACGCCCCGACAATTTAAAGCTAAAGGGCCTCTCACATATGTTGACTCAACAATGCATAAACGTCGGTCATGTAAACATGATTTTTCTATACTCTCTTGAGTTTTAAAAAGAAGATTACAACCGAAGAGAAAACACACATGTAAAATAAAGAAATTTAAACTTTATCTATTAAAAATATTTATAATAGCTGCAATTTTAATTAGTATCTCTGTAATGAACTTTAAGCTAACCTTTTTCGCACCCAAAAAAAAAACCAAAATTATAACACGTGAAGCATACTTTTTGAAAGTATAATATGTATCGACGAGTTCTACTCAGGATATAGACTAATGGATTATAGAACCCTTAGAATATATTAGAAGCTATTGATTACATTTTCTACCATTTATAACTCATATTAAAATACATTCAATCAGTTTTATAAACTAGTTCGATAACCGGAATGAGTATTCTATGTTAACCTAAGACATAAAAGCTAATATGTTTTGAATGGATACTTTTTTTTAAAAACAAAGAAATTATGATATATTTGTTCTGAACATAGAATACTGATTAATTATCCAATATACAAAAAGTTATTTTCTATTAATAGATTGTCAAGTCATAATATATTTGTTCTTTTAAAATTTATACACAATATAAAACTAGACGCGGTAAGAGAAATCGTGAAATTATATGAAAAAGTGAATCTAAATAGAATAGCATAAAGTGACAATCATACAAAAAAATAAAACAAAAACTAAACCCTAAATTAAAAGTGTTGAACCAAATTAATCTCTTTTCATATTCATTAATTTAAATTTTATATAGATTGTTTTTGAAACTTTACCAAGGTAACACGCTGATGAATAAGAAAAAGATTTTGAGTATGTGCACAATACAATCACTAATATGTAACTGATATCAATAGAATGTGGAGAAATCAATCTGTAACATCCAGATTTGTGGTATATGGAAATGTTTACAAGCGGTGATGTGACTATCTCTGTCACTAAATTTCACTTACCCTTTCAATCAAATATTAGTTTAGAACTCCAATATTAAGCATGCTTTGATGGGAATAGTGGAAGGTTGGTGACCTATCGTGAAGTCATTCGTGATATCGTGTGAGTGAGGCAAAAGCATGGGGAAATGTCATGTGATGATGCTCATTAAAAGTATCTTGAGATTCCCAAAAAATTGCCCCTCACGCTGAATGAGGCCCGTTGGCCGAGTAAGCGGTGTGGGAGACCCATTAACATTGAAAATTGGTGTGATACAAGGGTTTTAAGAGCCGAACCCGGACAGGTGTGGAGCCATTGTCTGGGGCTCACACTAATGGGCTCACACTAAGGTTAAGTATGCTTTAGTTAGAATAGTGGAATGATGAGTGACATACCATGAAGTCATTCACTTTATCTTGAAAGTGAGACCAAAGAATGTGAAAAATGTCGTGTGCTGATTGTAGTGTCAGTAGACAAGTCTTTCGAGCATAAAAAAATTAATGCATTGTCAGTCGCACGGAATGGGCCACAGGTCAAATGAACAAGTTTGGCAGGATCATTAGCCATAGCATGTCAGGGCGTCACACAATGAATATGTATATATTTAGAAATATAAACTAAATCAGAGGTATGAAAAGAAGTTTATGATAAAACAGGACAGACAAACAAAAAAAGAACAATTTAGTAGTCAACATCAATGTTAAATATTTGTCTATGTACCAAATATTCTATCATTGAAGGGTTTTAATATGAATCTCACATAGATTATATTGATTTCTTTATTGAAGGTCTATTAAATTGAATATCTCCCACATTTTACTCTTATTTAGTTAGAGAACTTTAGAAGCTGAAGAAACTCATGATAAAATCTCTTCATGAATTTTTCATCTCTTATTTGATATGATTTTTCAAATACATACATTATTTTTTTATTAAATATCAATATAACTTATGTTTAGAATTTATATTATGTATTTTGAAATAACTTTGGTATTTAGCTGAAAGAATATCATCATCCTCATAAGGGACATATAAACTTGAATTTTACTTTCAGGGAGATTTGTGAGAGTAGATTCTTCCTTTTGTTTGAATGAATCAAATAAATAAAACATGAAAATCCATTATTAAAAGAAAAAAGTACATAAAAAGTTTGATGAAATTTAAATAAAAAAAAAGAACCAAATTATTTTGAGAATCGAGATGCAGACAAGTACGAAACGACAAGTCTCTAATTCATTTCATTAAGACTATGGTTTGTTTTGGTTTGGAGGTTCGGAAGATGGTCCCGGAGGTGTTGATGCACCAGCAGCTCTATGAACATCACCCTGATCATTTTCTCTCATCCCAATGGTTTCATCCACATTACTTCGTGCATCCATGCCTGGGAGCCGAGTAAGTTGATTTTCCTGTTCCTCGGTCTATTGCAACATTTAATTAATTTTGGCGAATAAAAACGGTTTTGCAAAACCACAAGGTATAAGAAGGTTAGAATATTGGGATACCTTATCCATGATTGTTACCAGTTCATTACTTGCTGAATCTATTTCTCTTTTCAAATTATTGAGAATATTATTGAGAACAAATTCACTACCAACATAACCACATATGGGGTCGTTTAAACGAGCCTCAGCCTCGTAGCAGAGAGCTGTAACAGCCTTTTCATGATGCTGATGTTCATCAAGATCATTCAGAATCTTGTGAACATTTACGACTCCAAATATTTTATGAACACGATTAAACTTTTCCCACTCCGTTGCTGGGAAAAATGGTGCGCAATTGCATGGTTGCCCAAGTCTACAAGGGCCGTCGTGAAAGAATTCGCATACAGCACAAATTGGTAAATCCATTGTTCTTCTTTTTAGATTTTCCTTTAATTTTAAAGAAGACATTAGAAATTGAATTTTAGTTAAGAATATATTCACATTCTAGAAAAAAAAAATATTTTTAATAGATAAATAAAACTGAAAAACTGAATTATAAAGGCAAGGACATAAACTAACATCTTATGAAATAGTTGATAGTATATATAACTAAAAATATTGAATGGTTTATACTACTTTTAAAAAAGAAGCGAATATCGTTTTTGAAACACACAAAATTTAAATTTAACTTAATTGTAAAATGAAAAATGGAAAATAAAAATAAATTAGAAGTTAGGATATTTTATAAAAATCTTACAAACTTATCAATCAATACTTGATTATACCTGGAGAACCTTGAAAACTGTGATTCTGCAAAAGAAATTATTTTTTCTTGAATTTGATTGTTCTTTATCAAGACAAAGTTTCTCAAATTTATAAGCAATGATATACATAAGAAACAATGAATCTAATAAATACATAACTTTGACCATGATGTTTTCTTAATTTACTAAATATGAGAGATTTGACTACTTTGTCAACTATAAATTTAATTATAACAGCTTACTGTTTTGGCAAGAGAATATTATGACCAATTGAATTTGATAAGCATTTATTTTTAATTTTTATTTATTACTCTATCTCTTTAACTAATATTTAGGTATTTAATATGAGCACCCACATGATACATGATTTACTACGTTTTCATGAATTGAAATTTAATTGTCATCATTACTTGGAATGACCCAAATTGATCTTAAAATGACTATAATGACTCATATAAAATTGTAAATACTAGACCCTATTTTATAACAAGCAAATGGACTAAAATACCCTTTTAATGTGTGCAATCCAAAAAAGAAGTTTGCGAGGAAAAAAAACATTAAACATAAAAGAGAAAATAAATTAGATTCAAAATAAAAGAGAAAAATAAAATTTTTTCTCGGGTCTCTCTCTCTTTCTCGCACGACAACGACGATTTCGAAGGGGGGGATTCTTCGATCGAGTCTCGTCGTCGTTCCTCTCTCACTCCGACACCATCGCCTCTGTCAGAAGTCCATCTCGTCGTCTTTGTCTCTTACGTCGCATCTTTCCACAGACCAGAATGATGTGATCCATTGTTCTGTAAACAGAAAGAATGGAAGAAAG